TAGGTATTAGAGAAATTTATGTAGTTACAAATGTAATTCCAAAAAACCTAATAAAGTACTAGTGTGACTGCTTAAAATAAAAAAAAAAAAAAAAAAAAATAACTATCGATTTACTAACTAATTATAAAAAAAAAATCGACTTTTAAAACAAAAAAAGGTTGAAATATGAGCTTTCAAAGTCTACTCAAAAAATGCTATGTTTTTTATATTTGAGGGTATTATAGTGCACTATGTATCACTATATGTTTTGTATTGTATTACTGCATCCTTCCTCTAGACATTACCCAAATGAGGAAAAATTATAAAAAACTTAATACTGTCATAAGAAATATCGACTTTTACTTATATCTTGTGTTTTAGCAATTAGAAATCAAAAAAAAATTTATATTATTTGATTCATCTCAGTAAGACGAATCAAATGGTACTAAAATTTATCGATTTTGATCAGTATATCTCAAGATATTTTAAAAAAACTCCAATGCGCTACATTACCTTCTGTGCCAAAATACCTTACTCCACCTTATATAATAAAAATAAACATGAATAATACTATATACTGCATTAGTTTTACTAAGTTATTCTAAATAAAAATAAAATTATATTAGTATAACCAAAATGCAAGTTTTGAGTTTTCTGATGTCCAAGTCTTTTGTTGATGAAGACTTTGTAATACTTCTTCACACTTATCAATTTCTTTCAAAAAGAGCATTACTAGAGTATCAAAATTGGTTATAAACTTATCATTATCTAACTCACGTTCATATAAGGTTAAAGCTATTTCGAATTTTTTTTTATAATTTATATATTTTTCTTGTCTTTTTTCAATTATATTATCATGTGTTTCTACTAATATATTTTGTGGATTTTGTAAATTGATATTAGTCTCTTCAATAGAGTTGTTTTCTGCAAATGTCATACCAAACCGAATTCATGGGTTATTTATAGGCATAATTAATGATAATTCATTTTTTTTAAAAACAAATAAAGAATAATCATGTTGTCTTGATGTTTCTGAAAATTTAGATATAAACTCTTTTCCATTTTTTTCATGAACAAGATGTTTACAGAGATGATAATGACTGTAAAAATAAGCTGGACAAGAACATACCCAATGATTAACATTAATATAATATTTTTCATTTGCATTTGGTTGATTTTTGCTTTTGCAGCCTTAATCCAATTGGCTTTAAACTCATGCCACTATGATGGAAAAATTCTATTCCTTTTATATTATGTTAATTTAATTTCAAAGTCTGGAATAAGCTGCTCAGCTATTATTTGAGTAAGTCGATCTATGTGAAGATGATTATAGTTATATTTATAGTTATTTTAAAACTCGCCAATGGCTTTTAGTAATCATTGTTATGCTTACAAAAGGTATAGCCTGTGAATATGAAGACTGAGCAAATAACTTCCAGTCTTTTTCATTATACCAATTAGTTTACAAATAACCCTATAGTTTAGCAAGATTATTTGAATGACAAAATTGGTATATTTCTTGAACACAGGAATGGTAAATCTCTTGTGAATTTATAAAAGACTCCTTGGTTACTGAAATGAGCGGATGCATAATTGCATGTTTTTTAACTAACTTTAAAAGTTGTTTAATTAGATCATCTAAACAAAGAGATTTAGCATTACTTTGAATCCATGATGGGTCTATAAACTCAAACTTATGATATGCTTTTAATGCTTTATTTGATGAATATGTATTTGCTTTAATTGTTTTTCCTTTAATTTTTTTATTAATAGCTTGCTCGACATGCCAGCAACAGAGTTGGATATTAGCTATTGATGACAAAGTTTCCTGAGCTGCTGATATTTCACCTGCATCTTTGTCTACCAAAATAAATACTAGTAGCAATTCTTCCTGTCTAAGACTTGTAAAAAATATTCGTATTACTCCTATTCAAGTGTTTATAAAGTTTCTAGAATCATGTCGAGTTTCTTCACTACTATCCAATGTTATAAGATACAAATATGTTATTGGCATACCATATCCACCACAATTTACATTTACTATAAAAAGTTTAAATCATTCTTGATTAGTCTTGAAGGTGGAATCTACAATTATTTTAGTAGCTTCATTGATACCAACAAGCTTAAAGAGTGGTGTAAGAAAACCCAAAGCCTGTACGAAATTATTTTCTAAATAATTTAGAACTTTAAATCCTTTATTATTTAAGTTTGGTTGTTCGAGATGACTTTTGCTGATAAAAGTGAATTTTCTTGATTTTTTATATAGGTTTCTCTATTGAGTGCAGATACCCAGTAGTATACTTGCTTAGTTGTATGAATCTCTGGATTAATTAATTTATCTGTACAGAGTCGACAATAAACTTCTGTACTTTACAAATTATATAATAAAATATTATTTTGAATCCATTCTTTTGCATTTACAGGAAACTTAACTCGATGATATGTTGGATTCTTATGCACTATATTATGATTCTCTTGTACAAGAATATATTTATTTTCTGGGATTATGGTAAGTTTGATTTTTCCTGCACAATTATATCTATTTGTTGGGGTTCTGGCTTCACTATGCCGTTTGGGTGGCTGGTTATTTGGCCTTTTCCAGGCTCTATCATCTCGTATTGTACAGCAGAGATGTACTGTAGCAGAACCTATAAATTTTTTTTTATAACTTTTTAACCATGTTTTTCTTATTTCCCAATAATAGCTAGAGTCAGAGTCTAGTAGTATGGCAAGTATTTTAGCAAGCTGGTTAAATCTTTCTTTAACTATTTTTAAATCATTTGTATTAACTAAATCTTGTTGAGTTAAAGCAACAGTATTAATTAGATCTTCATCTAACTCAATCTCAAAGATGAACTTTACTGACTCATTAGATTCTTTTGTGTCTTCAAATATCTTTGAAGTAATTTCACATATTTTATTTAAACCATATAGGAGTGCTTTAAAATTATCACTATCTTTATCTTCCTGATTGCTATCTTCATTCTGGTCACTATCTTTATCCTAGTCACTATCTTTATCCTGATTACTATCTTTATCCTGATCACTATCTTTATTCTGGTCACTATTATCTTTATTCTAATCACTACTATTTTTATTTTTCTGATTATTATCTTTAGTATTAAAACTCTCATACAGTACCACTTCTAGAAGATCATTAGCAAAATCTATACTCTCAATAATTTGTAAATCACTGCTTATACTTAATGTATCAGTAATATTGCTACTACTTTGGGTTATTTTTTGATTTATTGATGTAATAATTTTTTTCTTGATGTTTATTCTTTATTCTCTTAGAACATTTGTTACATGTAGCAAATTCACATTGTGGACTGTTAGCTAAAGGGCGACAAAAATAGATAGTTTTTTTTTCTATATGACAACTATTATACATTTTTTTAGCAAGGTTTTGTGTAAGGTTTTGAGTAAGGTCTTGACTAGACATTATACCAAGGTTTGTAAAGAAACTTATTTTCTTTGAATATTGTATTTGTATAATGTTATATGGTAGTTTTACAAAAACCAAATATATGAAACTTTATTTTTAATTACTTTATTTTGCAAAATACGATACTGATTTATTTATATTTATAGGAAATCAAGACTAATAGAGATTAAATTACAAGGTAAGTAATTCTATTATATAATTGTTATATTGTTAAGCGAAAATTACAAATATCATATCCAATCATTTTTCTTATTATGCAATTCTTTATCACTATGTACTTATTGTATAATTATTATCTAATAATGCCAATTCTTACTATGTAAATATAATTTCTCATTATTCTTTTGCAAATACTGATTCCCTTTATTGCATTATTTTTCACACATTACCAATATGTCATTCTTACTATTTGACAATATTTACATATAATTATTTAAATTTTAATTTAATACATCATAATCATTAACTCTGACAAAATATATTTATACTACAATTACAATTCCCATTATACATAGTGCACATGTCTGTTTTCTATAACTTGCTTTAAGCATTTAAATGAATAAATTTATTTATATTATTTTTGAGATAGTTAATAAGTAAGAATTGGAAGACAGAGACAAGATGGAACATGATCAAAAAGCTCAGAACAAAATGTATAATATGTTACAGCAGAGACCATTAATGTTAAAACTGATAAGGGATTATATCCATCACAATTGAATTCAACATAAATAATTTAATTTGTAATTGATCACAGGCAAGAGAGATTCACTTTGGATCAGGCACTGTCTCTGCTATAATAATATATATACAATTGATTTAATAAAAATGATAATACTTTCATATATCATAGTAGGATCATAGTAGTTCTTTATTAAAAAAGTAATTTTAAAATTATTGTAATTTTAATTTAAAAATACATTTTATAACTATTTATAAATTTTACTATTTTCATTTTTTTTTTTAAAAAAAAAAGTTCATGAATTCTAATATACCAATGACTCAAAACCTTTAATCTTCAAAGTCTGTTAAGTTTTTGTCAAGTTTTCTTTAGGTAAAATATCAGTTATTTTAATTATCATTACTTACCCAAGCATTCAAATATGATTGACCAGACAACCATCTAACCAATTTTAACAAAAATTTTTTTATTCAAATTCTACATAATTATAGAATTTAAATAAAAAGAATTTATCGAAATTGGTTAGATAGC